TTATTTTAGTATAAGAATTTTATTATTTTTTAGATATAATATCTTATATTTTTATTTTAGTCTCATATATTTAAAAAATAATGAAAGTTTTCAAAATAAAAATTCTACTATTTATGAAATTTTAGAATATGAAAATTGACTTATTTTTATATTTAAAATAATATTTTTTTTTCATATTTTAAATCTTAATATATTTATATTTTATAATGTATATTGTCTTTTGTATTTAATTAATAATTAGATAGAAATTCATCTTAATTAAAAAGTTTATATATAAGAAGTATATTTTAAGAACGACTATTGTATTAATTACAAAAAATATTAATCTGTTAAAAAACATAAAATTTCTTTGATAAAAATATATAATTTCATTGTAAAAATCTTATAATTTTTAATATAATAAAATATAATTTTTTTATTATTTACATTTATTTTGAGTAACTAATTCAATTTTATATTAAATATTAGCTGAAAACTCAAAATTTTTTGTGATTATTAAAATATTAACATTCTCATCATGTAACCTGAATACTATTTATAATAATAATAAAGATAAGTATCAATTTTATAAACTATAATAAATCTATTAATTCATTTATTTTTAATAAAAACTTTTCAATTAATAATAATTAATAATATAATCAATTATAAAAAAATATTAATTTTTTTTATTATTTTTATATATTATTAATTAATAATTTTTTATACATTATTTTTTATAAAAAAAATGCTAAAAAATTCTTTATTAAATATAAGAAAATGTAATATAGAATTTAAAAAAAAATATATATCAAATATATTATTATAATATAAAAATATATACAAATTTTTTATAAAGTTTCAATATTAAGTTAAGATTTACAAGATCTAATAATATTATTATTTAACATATCAAAGAAGTACTTGATATCTTATATATTTGCCTAACTTAATATAATGAAGAAGTTTGCTAATGTTATATCTCTTTTTTTTGATAATTATTTTTTATTTTTCTATTAGTAAGTAATTTATACTTTTTTTTGATAGTAATAATTTGTTTTTTTTCCTTTAATAATAATTTATTCTTTTCTTTAGTAATAATTTATCCTTTTTATTTAATATTAACTTAAACTTTTTATTTCTCATTATCTTTTCTTACTTATATCTGTTATTTCTCTATATTATTTTTATTGTTTTTTTTTAATTTATTATCAATATTTTAAATAAATTTTTTTGTATTTTATTTGCTTTTACTCTTTCTATTCTAATATATATTTTTTTCTCTGTTCTATTAAAATATTATTTTATTTTTTATGTTTATTTTTTTTAGTTTTATTTTAAACTTTTAGTTTAATTATTTTTAAACTATCATTTAATTATTATCTATATTATTTTTCTTAATATATTTATTATTATTTCCTTATCATTTTCTTACTCATTCTTTTATTTCTTTTATTTCTTTATTTATCTTTATTTTATCTATTTTAGTTAATAATATTAGGTGAAACTGAAATATTTAGTCTTTAATAATTAAAATACTAAAATACTAAAACTTTATTATTATAGATTTTCTATAGATTTTTTATAGATTTTAATTCACAATTTGTAATAATATTTTATTTTACTATAAATTCTAGAAATTTAAAATTTTTGTGAAAAAAATACTATTGTAAATGGGTAAATATGATGCAGCTTATGTGATGTAAAGATCAACTAATTTGATATAAGTGATATATGTGATATATCAAACATATGTGGCATAACTGACATATTAGACATAGTTGATATATTAGATATAGTTGATATATTATACATAGTTAACATAGTAGACATGTTAGTTATATCTTTATATATAATTTATTTTATATAAATAGATAGCTTTTTGGTTCATATAAAAAGAGAGACAGATAGGAACTTGATAAGTTAGTTTTAGTAATTTTAAAGGCAACTGGCCTACTGCATTATATTTTAGTTTCCATAATTCATTTCTTTTCTTTTCTTTTCTTATTTTATTTTCTTTTATTTTTTCTCTTTTATTTTATTATTTTACTCATGAATAAACACATTATCTTACAAATATAACTACTAGTAATCTGTTGAATCACCGTGCGTTATAATAAGTCTAAATACTTTTGATAAACTATCTGAATTAAAACTGGTAAACCGTTAAAAGATTACTATATAATTAAAAAAAATAAACCACTTAAATATCCCATCTAACAGTCGTAGTTTATAAGAATTACACGTTAACACTATATATTATATTTTTATTTACTATATAAGAAGTTTGCTAGAAAATTTGAGAAATTTTTAATAAAATTTTATTTTTTATTATATTTTAGTTTTTGATATTATTAAATTAAATATAATAAGATTTTAATTTTAGTTAAAAAATTCTCAAAGTCTAATTTTTTTAATAAATTTTTCATGAATAATTATTATTTATGATATTAATTAGCAATATTTTTGATTATATATTTAATTAATAATAAATAATAAAAGATTTAAGTTAAAATTAATAAATATTAACTAATAATATATTCTTTAATAAATAAATAAATAAAAATTTATAATTTATATGTTATAAAACAATTTAGTCATTTAACCATTTGCTAAAAGTTTAGTCAAATATTTAAACTTAGTTAAAAGTTTAATCAAATATAAAATTTGATAAAAGTTTAATCATGATAAAAATAATTTAAGTAGACATTATTAATCTTAATGATAGTATTAAAATTATTTGTATTTATATATTATTAAAGAAATAAATTTGTGATAAAATATAATTTATTTTTATTATTTATTATAATAATTAAATATAATTAATTATAAATCTTATTTACTAGATAAATTTCTATTTTTATTTATATAAATTTAATATTAATCAATTTGTAGATCATTTTTCTAATTTTATTTTTTTTATTAATATTACTTATTTCTATTTTTATTATTATTATTTTTTCTATTCTTTTTATTGACACTTCTTATTTTTATTATAAATGAATTTTATTTTTAAAAGAATTATAGTTTATTAAATAATAAAATCATATTAATTTAAAATTATTATTTAATATTTATACAAGTTTTAATAACTTTTATATAGTTTAAATTTCTATTTTTATTAAAAATACAATATTAAATAAATATATTTTAAAGTATTAAAAAAATATTTTGAAATTTTATTATTTATTATACAGTAATTTCAGTTATAATAAAATTACAATTTTTTAGTTTTAATTATATATTTTATTAACTAAGTAAATTTATTTATAATAATGAAATTATATAATATATTACATATCAAATTTATAAAAAAAATACTTATTTAAATCATTATAAATTTAGTCAAAAATTAATTTATAATATGAATAACTAAAAATGATATAAAGCTAATTATTAAAAATAGATATTATAAAAAGTAAAAAGAATCAGTTTATTTTTTGAAAAATTGACATAAATTTAACTTAAATTTCATCCGATTTAATAAAAAATAGTATAATTGTGTTGCAATTTGATACTAAGTAAATTTTTATAACACAATTAAGTTGCAACTTAATTGAAATTTGAAAATAATTATAAAAATCATCTTTATTAATTACAATTAATAATAAATAAACATCATATAATGCAACTAGTTATAATATTATTAAAAATTAAGTTGTAACTAGTTATAACTGGTAATAAATAAGAATCATAAAATTGCAACTAATTATTACACTACCTTAAATATAACAAAATCAATTAAATTAAGATTTGATTAATGAATAAACATAAATATAAATTTATTTATATAACTATAATAACTTGATAATAAAATATTTTGTAATATATTATTATATAAAGAACTGAAGAAAATTGTAATCAAATAATTAATATTTAAAAATAAAATATATTGTTAAGAAACTAAATTTGTTAATATTACTATTAAAAATATTTATATCAATTTATAAAAATTTTAAAAGTAATAAACCATTATATTAATTAATCATAAATAAATATTATCTAATTTAATTATTAAAAAAAAATAAAAAAAAAATAATTTTAAATATATTAATAAATTTATAAAAAACCATATTAAATATAATTTTATATTAATAATTTATAGTACTAATAATTTTATTATCTTTTAAATATAATTAACATTGCAAATATAATTTATTTCTAATATTTATTATTTTAATTAATTAAGATTATTAATAAATTTTCTTTTAAATATAACAATATCATAACAAATCTCAAAGATATATTATGTATGAATGAAAACAATTAACGAATAATAATTACCTTATAACTAAACCCACAATCCAAGAATCGAATTAATTGTCCATAGAAACCTCATAAGTACAATTGTATTATAAAACAGGAATGAAATTGCGGAAATTATTAAAGATAGAACCTTGAATGCAGTACTCACTATACCATCTCCATGGCATGACTAAATTTTTCAAGCACGTGTGAAAAAAAAAAGGATAGTGATTAACCGGAAGAAACTTTATAAAATCAAGCGTAATGTGAAAATGCAATACTTCTTCATGGCCACATGATATTATTTGTATATATCTCTCAGTTTTTTCTGGCTGATTCCTTTTACAAGTGAAGGTTCTTACCGTAAAGTAATGAAATTTTGTGCCAAGTACTTTGGAGGTTCATCAAATACACTTGATTGGAATTTTTGCGATTTAAGATTACTGATTCCAGTGTAATTGTTTCGAATTATTTTCCCTGTGGCTAGAAAAAAAAATTTTGGAATGGCGACGATAATGATCAAAATACAATCAATCCTTTATACTCATCCTTGATTAACTTTTTCAGCTCAAAAACAAACCGATTAACGGCAAACGGATTCTTTTGATTTTAACTTCTGTCCCTTTATCTGAAAGGTGAAAGGTTAGCATGGTTATTCCCCAATTATCCCGCACCAAAATGAGATGAATCAAATTCGGAAATATATTTTCGCTATGTAATTAAGAACTTTATTTATGTAAAGGTACAAGGAACCTTGTAATGTATTATTCTTACATCTAGCCATGAATATTTTTATAAGGTGTAACATGCGTCTAATATAAAAAAAAAAAAATACTTTAGACTCTGTTGTATTATATTTATATATAATAGATCATACGAAATTAGATTGGGAATAATCTGGTGACGTGTCAATCTTTACTCGATTTTCCAATAATCCAACATTAATTTCCAATATATTTCTTACATTGAGATTCTGCCATCAATCATAATTGATTCTTCGACTTGTACTTTTTTAAAATGATCTGCTCGGCGAAATTATAAATATCGTGTTAGATTTAACGACAAGAAGGATACTTAGTTCAAGCTTTGCATGTCTGATATTTTGCAATGTTTCAGTTGACGAGATTTCTATACCGTAATGCAGCGAATTTCCTCAATCAAATGGTCTATGATCTTTTTAATTGCATAATCCACACGACCAGCATCAATATTGGGGAAATTTTAAAAAGACAATAACTGATGCATGCAAAATTGACGAAATGTGATCGCATCGCATTGCTTCATCGCCATCAATTACCAGACACATGGTCTTTAACCTTCGTTTAACGTCTTCTACACAGAAACATAGGGGACTAGAATAAATAAAGAATGCATATTAATTAAGCTTGTCCGGTTTCACAGATTTTCACAGAAATACATTAACCTGGTTCGACATTTTGGTATATATGTGCTTCACTGAGTTTAACACTTTTCTAAGGTGTGGTACGGCGACATACTTCTTTTCGTCCTGTCCATAAACGACTTCACATCTCATGTCCGGTCCTAATGTCAAACCAGTTTAATAAGGTCAGTCTTGATGCGAGATTATGAATTATTATCACGTGAAATTTTCGTTGGGATTCCTAGGGATTGATTTTCACCAAATAAAATATTAAGGAATAAAAAAGTACATGAACAATTACTCAATTCAAATGAATTTTTTTTTTAACATAATTGTTTTTATTAGTGATTTTTGTTTCTGTATTTTTTTTTTTTTTTTTAAAAAAAAAGGCATATATAAAGAAATATGAAATATTTTAAAAAGAATTATCTTGAAAGTATAAACAATAAAAAAAAAAAAAAGAGATATATATATAACAATTATTAAAAAGGGGGAAAAGCTATATAATATTTTTTTTTTTTTTTTTTTATAAAAAAAAAAAATTAAAATAAAAGAACTATACAGATCCCATATTACAATAAAATCCATAATTTTTTTTTTTTTTTTTTTTTGCTTATGCAAGTTAATTATAGTTGATATATATTTTTTTTTCTAAAAAAAAAAAAAAAAAAAAAAAGATAACGATTCCCAAAATTAAAGTGTTCCCCAACCTCCATAAACTCAATGTCGCGATAACTCTCAACGGATTGGTATAATGAAAAAAAAGGTGTTTACGAGTTATTTCATAATTCGTGAATAATTTTATTTTTTATGTTGTAAAAAAACATAACTCGCAACACCTCTACAAAAAAAAATTAAAAAAGATCCGTTTCACAGGATGTTAATCAATATGAATTAAATTAAATTACTATTGATTCTCGCTATAAATCTAATAACGTGGAAATTAATAAAAAAAATATTTTTTTTTCCACAAACATAAAAAAATTGGATGTGATTCGAAATTAGTATGTCACCCTTTCGTGAACGACCGAGTTATTAATTATGGAGGAGGGGTATTAAAAAAAAAAAGAAGAGAACTGTTTGTTTCATATGGGTTTGAACCTCATAAAGAGTATCAATGATAGTAAGGGACGGGAATGTCAATATATTTTTTTAGAAAAGAAAAAATTTATTCTCGACGTTAAACTATCATGAAGGCTCTTAGGAGGCATATATCCATATTTTCGTAAACAATAGACATGGTTCTAAACAAATATCGAACACGAGTTAGTATTATTCCTTGTAAATTTTTTTCAAAAAAAAAAAAAATACTTTACATAGTCCATGATTTTTAATAAAAAGAAAAAGGAGTTCCGCAAGTTAAATTGAATTGTTCAACTTGGCATTAAGCAAACAAGTTTTAAGCGGGAAAATATTAAGGCTTTTCGCCGAAAAAACATTTACAAGCCCTTGCCTTTATTTAATTATAACAAGAACATTAAGTGAAAAGGAAATCATTGTAAATATGGGTGGACACCAAATCATGCCAAAGATTTCAAAAATAACCAAATAGCTAGAATTTATATTGTTTGAAACATGACGTATCCATATCATGCAAGTAAAATTTTGTGGCCCAATAACGCATCAACTTAAAAGGAACTCATTTACTAGCGAAACGCCAACAAGTCAAGGGGTTACCCGTCATGATATCAGATCGGCCAGTTGAATGAATGATAAGATGTTTGATTAGCTTTTTAAAGGAAAAGCCTCATAAAAAGGTAATCTTGTAATTTGCACTTTTCGGTTAGTGATGAGCAAGCCACAATTGCACGTGAAAAGGAACGTTTTATTTATTATTTTTTTTTTTTTTTTTAAAAAAAGTAAAATTACTGGTCGGAAGTCTCCGTTATTTTATGTTACAAATTATCCCAAAAAATTAAATAACGTCTTTAACCTTTTTGATGTAGACTCGATTGAATAATTTCCTTATTTTTCTATAAAAGTATTACCATATAACAAATATAATACTTCTTCTTTCGCGGTTTCTAATCTATAATCTTCCGTATTGACTTTTGCGGTAACGTTTCGTACCGTTGAATCTATCACGTTAACTGCTAAATCCGCCGAAGAGACCAAAAAATATGCGAAAAAATCTAAAGAAAAATGTCTTTGGAATTTTCTCATTAGCTGGAGGTGGTCTACGTAAGCATCTCATCAAAGTATCGTGAATTGATACCGTCACTGGTGATACCTCCATTTCTACCCTCGTTGAGAATCGAATATCTCGTAGCATCTTCTCATCTATGAGTAAAGAAGATCCAGGATCACATACATCCCAAGGTGTACAAATATCTTGAGAAATCGCTGCATTGTCGTTTAACAAAAGATTATCGATTTCGATAGATTCATAATAATAATATCTAAGGATTCTTCTTTTTAAAAATTGATATTCTTCAATGAAGAGCATCAATTCCGTACAAAAAAATGACGCGGTATAAATCTTTTATTGTTCGAATAGGTCATCATCTCCAAGAACTTGTGAAAATCTCACCCATCGTTCTTCTCTCATTGATCGTATGACCGTATAATCGGAATGAGGATCGTGATCACATGACTAAACACAAGGGCGGTTGGTAACCACATGAGAGGTCCCCAAATGGAAACACAGTAAGCCACAAGAGATAAAATGCAAAGCAGCAGATGAAGATGCAAGTTCTTTTTAAAATATCCCTTCGAAATCCATAACTTTCTTCAATTACTCTAAGAAAATAATACAAAATGAGTGCACCTGTAATGTACATTCTTTTTTTGGATCCTTGGTGGAGAATTCATCTAAAGAAATCTAAAAAAGGAAAAGGGGAGAGATTAGAACACTATTTTTTTAAAACAAACAAATAAATAAATGCGCACCGTAATTCCCATTAATGCGATTACAAAAAAATCCGAAAACAAACAACCCGTAACACAACACTTTATCAGTTGTATATTTTTTTTGCTTTTGATACCATTTCAAACGTTCCTTTATGGTCAAATTCTTTAAACTTTTTTCTGTATCATATTGTTCCAACATTAGAGTAGGTATTTGTTCTCCAAGTTGCATCTAACACCGCGTAACTTGGTTGTGCTAAAAATATCAGACGTAATCCACGAATAACAATTACTAACAGGTATATTACAACAGATAAATAAACGTTCCACAATATAACGTAGCAAGGAAATGTATCTTTATAAAATCCATTATAAATCACCAAAATTGGATAAAATATTATGTTTGAAATCGCGAATGTGATGGATAAGCGCATTGAACGAGTCTCCATGCCTTTGATTTGTTTCCGACGATGATAAAATAAATATGTGGTAATCACCAAGAAAACTGCGATCAAAATCCAAGAATATACAGTATACAAAAATTGTAGCCATAATTTGGTCTCATTATTTAAATCAAAAGTCTTTATCTGAGAGAGAATAGAGAGAGAGAGTGAAAGTGAGTTTGAGAAAATATAAGTCCACACTTTTGCAAATTTCAATATTTATATGTACAGTCCCTGAGGTCATTTATAAATATATAATTCTTACATGGCTCAAAAAGTGAAATTGACATCATGCTGAATGCAAAGAATTTACTTTGGTAATGTTTGGTAACAAAAAAAGATAGATTCACTGACGCGTATTCATAGGATAGAAGAAATGACTAAAAATTTTGTAAAAGTAACTAATCAATGAACCAAACCATTAATATACTTTTGATGTTTCGGATGTGTTTCATGTTTGTTACATGATCGTCTATAATTCGCGATCTTCCTCATTTAATGAATCAATCTACGTAATAATGCTTTGCCCCAATTCTTAATTTTCAAAACACAATTCGAAAATTATTATTCCACCCGTAGTAACACTTATTTATTTTATAATTTATTCCGAACATAACTTTATATTGGGTATAACAATAATTGTTAGATTTCATAATGCATACACAGGGCTTTATATATTCATATACAAAAATTCCTTAATCTTAAAAGTTGTTCGTAACGTGATTATTTTTTTAGTTATAACCGAAAAATTTTCGTAGAATGGTGTTAACCATTGGACTTAAGGACTCAGGTTCGTGTTGATATGCAGTCTAAGAAATTTTAAGCAAGTAAAAAAAATTAATTATGTTGGTGAAACGAGTGAACGACCTACCACCACCATTCTTACCATGATTATACCCATGGCCACGGAAAAGAACCATACATCTGCCGTTCGATGTAATTCAAATATCCAATTTTTTTGACACATGATCTTGTACCAAGATTCTGCGGCCTTTGGTAATACGTATAAAGCTAAATCTGCCCTTCGGTTTTTATGTTCAATGAAAATGGCGAGTGCTGAACTAAATCCGGCCCACCAGTATAAATATTTAGAATCCCACTTTACATTGAAATATTTGATGATATTACGATGAAGGCATATGTGAGACTGGTAACTTGCTACGAAAGTGGCTAGAAAGGTGCTTGATCGTATCGTGTTGAAGGTACTTTTTTGAATAAGTGCCGTGGGACTTTTTGTTTTTAAAAAAATAAGAAAAAAAATGATAAATGATAAGCAATTATAAAATTAGAATTAATGATAATGATTATTGCATACTCTTTGGCAAGTTGCTGGAATTTGAATGCTATCATTGGAACGAAATTAAGTGTGGCGTATACTGGTGCAATTCTTCGAAAAACTTGATAAAATCGTTCAATGTTTGTATATACACATGAATCAAATTTCGGATGTACTAGTTCGCTAAAACAAGGAAACAGGTTTAATAAGAAATTAATTATGATTATTTATCTTTTGTACAGAAAACGAAAAATGATGAGTAGATCTACCAAGGAATTGAAACTGGTCGCGGAGGTAAATTGTAGGCTACCTCGAGTGCATTTTTCGTTCCTTTTAATGATTTAACAAGGTTAATCGCTTCTTCTTTATTCAAAGGCAAGCCTCGTCTCAAGTTGAAATTCATATCCAATGTTTTCTTTGGAACGCGTGCTGTTATTATCATAAAGTTCAAAAAGTCTTTTGGTATGGTGTTAGGTCGCATCTATAAAAAAAAATTCGTGTCGAGAACAATTAAATAAGGATATTTTTTTAAATTCAAAAAAGTAAACGAACAATTAAACAAACATACCGTATAAGCATAAAGAACTTGTGCAGTCGTTAAGATAAAAAGTAAGGCGTCTCCATGAGGGATTCGAAAATATTCACGCGCGTGGCCCGCATTGTAAAGAGCTTGTAACGCGCTGATTTGAAAAACCCGACAAACTAATTACTAATTAAATCAATTGAGGGAAAATAAAAAAAAAAAAACCAAAATGTCTTACCGAACAAATAACTGTTGCGCGATAGAGATTCGTCTCTCTCGTTTTTCCGCCAATATGGAAATTCCAGCAATGGAACCTTCCAAATTTTCGCATGTAATTATTACATTCTATTCGTCTTTATGAAAACCTCATGAAGATAAAATACCTGCAACAAATCCATTCCAATGATCGTCTTTCTTTCTGACATATCGCAACCCATTATTGATAAGCTTCCATAAAAACGAAAATCCACCAAATGATACACCAAATCGCACGGCGTCCTTTCCGAAAAATCCATGGAGGAACGCCTTATATATCTTATATATAGATCCTTTCCTATCAAGAAAAGCTTACGTTACGCAAGCCATGCATTTTTATATCATTTCAAAAATAAAACGTGACTACCTTTTCCGGAATACTGTTAATAAATTTAATAGGAAATTCACACCACCACGAATGCCGTGCGCCATTACATATGATTCTATATGAAAACAACTTAATAATGAAAGCGATTTAAAAAAACCATCACATTTAATATCAAAATTGAACGCATACTAAGTCCTCCCGTAATGGCATGAAGAGCAATATCTTTAGGTGTGTCTGGTTTATCTATGATAACCAATTGTCTCTGGTTACCTTTATGATCTTTTTCATTATTAGCTAATACAGATTTCTCATAAGCTGAAGAATTTCCAATAAGTCTGATATTTACTTCATTTGAAGGAATTACATTTATTTGAGTATTTTTTGTTTTTGACATTATAAACAAATTTTAAAAGGAAAAAAAAAAAACCTCTATTTTGGGGAGGAGAAGCGAATAATCATTCCATTTTTATATAGGAAAATATCACCAATTAAATCGAAATTATTCTAAATAATAACAACGCTAATAAATTGTACGACCTATCTTTCCCGCTTTTTTTACCTTAAGGTTACAATGATTATTTGTAGACATTTGATTTTAATGCAAACAAAACCAAAATTTGGGGTAGTATTTTTTTGGGGAAAAATTTTTATAAATTAAAATTGTTTCGATGAGTATTCGATGCTCAGCAGATCATTGACACGTCTTAACCACGTTGGACTATTCATTCCTTTTTGAATTGCAGAATTGTGTCAATAAAATCTATTTTTAATAAAGACAATACGAAAATGTTGAACATCTCTTCCCCAAAAGAATAAAAAAAAAATTTTTTTTTATGTAATCCCCAACGTTTATAACTATAAACAACTAGATTTGTCGATAATAAACATTTTTGTACATTTAAATCATTTAAATCATTTTTGATTCACGGATATTATAATTTCATTTTAATAATTGGTTAGTAGGGATTATTTTAGATTTTGGGTGAATTATATACATATTGGATCTAACACTAATAAATTACCTATAACCTTTATATTTATAGTTAAAATTTAAATATAATTTAATTGGTTATTTAAAAAATATAAAAAGAATTTTAAATATAATATATATTATTATAAATTTTAATATAAATAGCAAAATTTATTATTTAAATATTAAAAAAAAACCTAAAATTTAAATATATAATAAAGATTAATAAAACTAATTTAATAAAAGTAATTTAAAGTATCATATATTTTCTCATATTGATAATTCTAATTAATTAAAAATTTATTTTTTTTCAATAATTTAACTTATTGGATTAAGGAAAAAACCTTTTTTTTATTATAAATAAATAGTTTTAATTACAAATATATCAAAATTCCAAACTGTTTAAAAATAGTTTAGATAAGTATTTTTAATATAAAGGATTAATTATATTCATTTATTTTAAATTTGCAATTTAATTTAAACATAATTTTTTTTTATAATATATTAAAACTTTTTTTCACTATAATAAATAAATTTGATTTTAATTATCAAAGTATTACAGTTAAACTAGTTATAATAAATAAATATTATAATATTATAATATTATTTAAATTATAATTAAAGATGGTCATCACAATTAAAAAAAATGACGTAAATGAGTTACAACTTGTGGCATAATTAAATTTTTTTATAGCACAATTAAGTTGCAATTCAATTAAAATTTGAAAATAATTATAGGAACCATCTTTAAATATAATAATTAAATATTTGGTTTATTTTTTAATAATATATAAACTACAATATATTTCATATTTAAAACTAATAATTAACTTACATTTAATTTATATATTTTATTAAGAAGTTAAAATTAATATTAAATAACTTTAAATGATATTAAATTATTTATTTATTATTAATTTAAATTAATAAAATATGTAAAATTATAATTATTATTATATTATATTTCATAATTATCCCTTAAACTGTTGAGCAGGCAAATTTGCCTGTAAACATAAAAAAAAATGTATTAATTTTTTAATAAAAAATAAAATATTAATATTAATAATATAATTATTATATAAAAAATATAGTTTAATATATATTTTATCAACTTTATTAGAAGAAATTTAAGTTTATTAAGAAGTTTTTTAAATAATTCAATTTTTAAAATTAAGTTTAAAAAAATTATTATAATAATTTTTTAAAAATTTAAATTTTTCATAAAAGTATAATCAGAAGGAAATTTATAATAAATAAGTAGGTAAATTTGTCTACGAAATCTCTATAATTTAAGGAATAAAGTATCATTTTTCTGTTTTAAAATTATTATTTTTTTTTATGTTTAATATATATAGATTACTCAAATTTACTAAATATTTTAGTATTTTGAATATTTTATCAAAAAAAAAAATTAGTTAAAATTATGTTTAATTTTATTATTAACATATAAAATTTTATTATAATTATTATTTTTATTAAAGAAATCATAAATTTTTTCTTTAAATTAATATTTAGTAATATTATTTTTGCTATTTTATATATCTTATAATAAATATAATAAATATAAATCTATCATATATATTTATTAAAAATTAAGATCTTATATTTAAATTAAAATTATAAAATTTTAATACAAATTATGATAATTTTATCTAAATCTAAATTAATATGTAACATTAATAAAATATATAAACTGATTATAAATAATATATAATTATTAAATTAAAAAATTCTTTTTTTTTTATTATTATAGTCTTTTAAATTTGAAGTTTTATTTATTTTATTTCTATTAATGATTAATTTATAATGTAAAATTTGATAAAAAAAATAAAAATAAACTGTTAATAAAATGATTGTATTAATGAAATAATACTAATAGTAAAATATTTATTAGTGAAATAAACATGTTAGTGAAATTATTGTGTTAGTAAAATAATCATTAGTAAAATATTTGTCAGTAAAATAATCTTGATAATGAAGTGTTTGTCAATAAAATAATTGTTAGTGAATATTTATCAGTAAAATAAACTAGACTCAATCAAATAACTTAAATATTTAATTTCATAATTAATTATATTTATTTTTTTATTTTTATTATTTATATTTATTATACTTTTTACTTTTAAATATATTTTCTTTATTTTTCTATTTATTATTTTATTATCATATAATTTATTTATCTAATTACAACTATAATTAAATAACTTAATTATAATTAATTTTATATAAAATTTATGTTAATAAATGCTTTTAATAAAATTTGTACTGATAGAAATGTATAACTATTAAATCATTAAACAATTATTACCTGTTAATGACTTATTTGTAGCTATTAAAATTTTAAGTTATTAATACTTATTAACTTTTTTACATCTTTTTAATTATTAAGAAGTTAGCTATATATTAGTTAAGCTTTATATCTTTTTTATTGCTAAAAGGTAATTATATATTAATATCTTTTATTTTATTTTTCACTGTAAAAAAATCTTATATATTCTTATAAAATGTAAAAGTTTTAAAAAAATTCTAAATGATATTCTTGATAATATTTTTATATATTTTTTTAAAATTTAAAATATTCAATTATTTTCCTTTATATCTATTATTATATCATTAAGAGTCACTAAAAAAAAGTAAGTTTTAAGAAAAATTAAAATTTTCTATAGTAATATTATAATATATATATTATATGTATAATAAATGTATAATATATGTATAATTTAAAAGGATATTAAAAGTTTTTGAACACTTTTTAACTTAATAAATCATTAAAATTTTTTAAAATTTAATTAAAAAATTTATTAAAAATTTATTAAAAATGACATAAAATAAATTTTATATTAATTAATTAGCATTTAATTAGACTTATATTTGCTTTAATTATAGTTTAAATTCTTTATAATATACTATTGATCAAATTTTTAATAGTATATATAAAATTTTTCTTCATAATTTCTTAATATATTACTCTAGTTCAACAATATTAGAAGAAATTTTTTTTTTCACAAATGTTTTTCTTGAAATTAGCCTATAAATTTTTAATTAGGTTGATATCTAAATTTAAGTAAGCTATAAAAGAATATGTATATTATTTTTTGCATGAAAATTTTTTGCTTATTTTATTTTGTAAGACTAAATATTATTCTTCTAAAAATTACCATTACCATTTAAAAATACATTTTAAAATACAATTTATATAAATAAGATTTAAAATGTTATATGATCATAGAATTGCTAAGTCATATAAAATTACTGATATTAAATTGCACATAAAAAGTAATATTTAAAGACTTTTGATAGCCTTTTATATATATATGATATTGTAATAAAAAATAAAAATAAAAAAGTTTGATTTTCTTAATGATTCTTAATAATATAATAATACTCATCTGAAAATTTTTTAATAATTCTGAAATTACAAAATATCTATAAAATTTATTATTAAAGATATCACTAAATGTATTATTAAAAATTTTAATAACATTGATTATAAGTTATATTATTTTATATTACTTTTATTTATACTTAATTTATTTGCTAATATTTACATAAAGTTAAATTAACTAATTTTTTTAATAATATTATTTTATTACTTTATATTTTTTGCATAAATATTATAAAATCTATATGTAAAACTAGTTAATTTACTGCATTCTTTATAAGAAACTTACTTAAAAGAATTCTAATAGACTTTATATTCTTCTGGTTATAGTATCTCTGATTATACATAGGATCCTGAATAATACTAATATAGGTCTGATCTAGTAAAAAAATTTACTATTAGCTATACGTAATATTTATGACTATAATTAGTATGCATTTATAGCTCTTTATTTCTGAAATTTTTGTAAAATATGCATTCTAATCCCTTAACCTTTATTAAATTTTTATTAATAAAATAAAATTTAATTAAACTATTTTATCTAAAAAAATAATTAATTTTTAATTTTTTTTTAATATTTTTGATAATTTCTTTCCTTTCAAAATATTTAAGATAATATTTTTTTCATTATTTACTAATTTTAAAATATTACTATTAATAGAAATTCCTAATTTTCTATTATAATAAATAATATTTGATAGATTATGATATGTTAAAAAATAATATTTTTCTTTAACTAAATTACTAAATAAATCAAAATAAATTAAAAAATAGACATGCAAAGAAATATAAGAAATATCATCTAAATTTAGTGTTGGCAAATGATCTTGAAGTGACCTTAAAATGACCTAATCATGTGATGATTTTACTATGAAATCTATCACGTGATCATATACAAAGTGACCTAGGTCACTTCAAAAAAAAGGAAAATAATCTTAAAATTTGCCAATACTATCTAAATTTGTAATATATTCACTAATATAATAATAATTTGAACTATATACTTAAAAATATATTGCTATTACTTACCTAATACATATATTTTTCCCATATTATATGAAAATATAATCATTTTCAACTAATAGAAAATCTTTACTTATATTTGCTATTAAATTATTTAGAACTAATAAGTTTTAAAAAAATTAATAAATTACATTTACTTATTTAAATATAAAAAAATATAAATAAATATACTTTCAATTCATATTTCAAATCCTTTAATTTTTTTACTTTTGGATTGTTTTTTCTAGTATTTTCAATTTCAGTAAAATATAAGTTTATAAGAGTAATAGTTGTATATTTTTTACTTTCTTTCTATAATTTCTTTTATTAAGTGACAAATCATTGTTATAGACTATCATTTTTTATAAAATATGTAATAAAATGACTAGCTTTATTTAGTTGAATAATATTTTGAACTTCTGAATAATTTGGATACATTCTAAAATTTTTGAATTTTTATTCAAAAGGTTTAAAAGTATATACATCATGGAAACCTATTAATTTATTAATATATCAATGCAGTTTATTAAACTATATTAAAAATTAAGATTCACTATAAAATTTTAATAATAATTAATATAATATTTATTTATATAATAATTATAAAATAAAGCTAAATAAAAAATAATTACCACTATTATCATAATTAATAACTAATGAATTATTATTAGATTGATTAATTAAATCTAGTTAACTATAACTTTCATTAAAAAAATTTACAAAACTTGTTTTTTTTGATTATTATTTTGAAATAAAATTTTTACATTATTAAAAGCATGTTGAATTACTATAGAAATATTAGTATTATCATTTCTTAATACATCTGATTTATTATTATTATTAAATTTTTTTAATATTGAAACCTTATCATCATCTAATTTAATTATAATATTAGGTTTACTGATTTTAATTAGTAATTCAATAGGTTATATCATATTGACATACTCCTTTAATTTATAAGCCAATGGTAAGATAATTTAATAGTTTTTAATATATTATTATCAAATAGCTATAATCGTAATTTTTCAATAAATTTATATCTAAGTAATCTGAGTTATAATCAAAATAATATTCTTTAATAATTAAAAATTATTAATTTTAAAAAAATAATAAATAATAATTATAAATATTTTTATTAAATATAATATTATCTTACCTTATTGACTTTTTCTTTTTAAATACTAACTATTTACTTCTTAAAGCTTTTAAGTATTATATAATTTAAAAAGCATATAGATGATTTTAATAAATCAAAATCTGAGTTTATTTGTTAAGTCATTTCAAAAAAGTGTTCACAGGATTCTGTATCATAAAATTAAGGAAGTAAAGATATATGTAGATAATATTTATGATGAACTTTATTAATAATACTATTGACTCTTTTAAAGATAATAAATAACAAAAGTTTAATCTACAAGAAAATTTTGACAAATATTAATAAAATCAGGATACTTTTTGGCTAATATATTAATATAAAATTATCATAAATGCAAAAAAAGTATCTAATCTTTATTATATAAATTTGTTTAATTAGAGTAATAATTCTATTAAGAAAATTATCAATAATTTTACCTATTAAAATAAATATAACAATATTAATAAATTATAAATATTTAATTTATTAAATTTTAAATTAAATTATTAATAATTACCAATTATGAAAAGATAAATAAAAAGTCTTTTCATGCTTAGCTGTATTTCTTTATTATAATTCAAGCATTACTTTAAATTTGATAAACAAAAAGTTCTATATACTGCAGCATCATCTTAACGATTTAGCTTTATAATATCATTTTTAAATATAACTAAATGATGACAATTGATAAGTTGAAAAAAATTAGAGTATTAAATTAATGTTATGCTAAATATTAGAAAATAAATACTAAATATTACAGCATTTCTTGCTGTTTTTTTAACATGTTTAGGATCTTAAACACGTATTACTATACTAATTTTTTCAAAAATTAAACATAAAAAATGAATATTCAAATTGTCTTTATGTATTAAAAGTTATTCTATAGTATTTGTATTAAGTATTTATTATTGAGATTGAAATTCAATTATAATATTATCTAATCTAAATAATAAAAGATGTAGTTCAAGTTGTGGTATAATTTCTTTGAAAAGTTTAAAGTATAATTTAGTAATATCATCTGCTTTATCAGATTTTTGATTTAGAATTAGAGCAATTATTACTAATAGAAATTTTAATAAAGAAATCTTTATAATATTTTATAAATAATTATTTATTATTAAATACTCAGCAAATATTTCATAAATAACTAGAATTATATATCAAAAAAATTTATTAAAAAATTTTATTTACTTGTAAAATATAAGTTTAAATATTTTTTACAAGAATTTTTTTCTTTAATTTTATTAATAATATTAGGAATATTACTGTAAATATCAATTTTGCTATTATTATTACTAAATGTTAAACCAATAATATATTTAATATATTTAAGATTTGAAAAATATCTTAAGCATATTTTAAGCTTTGTATTATTTGTTATCACTATCACTAGACTATTATAATTAATTGTTTCAATTAATTATTTAAATTAAACTATATTCTTATAGCATAAATTAAGATTCATTAAATAATTCTTATTATTATGTTTTAATTTTCTAAATATCATTAATTATTAATACTTTAAATCAAATAATTATATATAGAATTTTTATTTAACTTACCTAATTAATTACAAACTATATCCTTCTAAATTTTATCTAAATAAGTTTAATGTACAGCTACTAAAGCTTTCTAATATAATAAGAAAAATTAGTAAATTCTTTTGAATATTTCATATGTTTTCCTTTATTTGAAAGTTTTCTTTCTTTTATATTATTTATTACTTCACATAATTCCTTAAATACTGATACATTAGTAAAAGCACCTTTAATTATTTTATCTTCTAATACTACCCAAGGTTATCAATTTTATCTTTATTATTATCATTAAGAATATTCTATATATTAAGTAAATCAATATTTTGAAAGTGATTTTTCAAGTTGTTATCTTTCTAATAGTATTTCAGTATAATTTTACATTTTTGATAATAGTAATTGTTTGATAATTTTATTTTTAAGATTCTTATTAGATCTTAAAATATGATATTCAGTATATATATTTATATTATGTCATATAGTTTTTATACATGTTTTAATATGTATTGTATTTGTTAAAATTAAATAATTAAATTTATTAATAAAAAGATTATTTTTTAAAAATATTAAAAATTAAAAATTAACTTATAAAAATGATTAATTTTTCAAACTGACTCTGCAAAAAAAAATCTATTTAATTTTTTTTTTCTGTTAGAGATTTAATTATTTTTGGTTAAACTTATATGAAAATAATTTTGAAAATAAATATTATACTATAATTTTAACTTTATGTGAATCTCTAAATTAAGCTAGTATTTGTTTGATATAATTAGAGATTTGTGTAGATTGTAAACTAACACAAATTTGCTATTTTAAAAATATTAATAATGTTAATATTATCAGTATAACCAGTGTAAAAGTATCTGTATCTTTATTATCATTTTCTTTATCACTTTCTTCATCAACTTGTAAAAAATCATCTTTATCTATATTATCATATATATCTGAATCCCATTCTTCATTTGAATTTTTGATATTTTCCTTTGTAACTGATTTGAAAAAACTATAAATTGATTTTTGTCCTTCACTTGCTTTGCATCCTGAATATGTCACATGTCTATTTAATAATCTTTTTTATATTTATGATTTAATTTGATTTATTTTTCACATATACACATTACAATTTTTGCATGAATAATGTGAACAATATATTAATTTTAGATAATTGCTCTTTAGTATACAGAGGATAGACAAAAGTTTTTAAACACCTTTATAAATGCAATTTAATAAATTTTCATCATATAATTATGATATTATACTACTGTTATATGATTATCTATTATTTATTTACATAATTAAAATAAAAAAATTGTATTATTTTTGTTCATCAGTAAGTTACAAAAAAAATATACATTACATATTTATTATTTGCAGATCATATATATTACAATTTTATTATTTTAAATGTATATGTAATATTTAGCATTAATAAACATCATTTATAAAATTATCATTATAATATATAGCATTTAATAATGAAAATTTGTTATACATTAAAGTAATTTGCAAGTAATATTAATTATTAATTGAACTGAATACCTAGATAGTAAATTTTTATTATATTAAAAAATGATTATATATTAAAATATGAAATTATTTACAAAAAAATTCATCATTTTTATAAATTGTGGTATTATATATACTGATTCTACAACTGATTCTACAGGAATAAATTCATATTGAGAAGTTTGAATTAACCATTAACATTTATACTTATCTAGTTTATAGACATTTTTATAATAATATTATTACACAAGTATTAAATCAAGCATATTATTAGATGATAAAATATTAATTGAACATAGCATTAATACCTTTTAAATATGATAAAATAATAGTAATTAATATATTAAAATATATAATCATCATAATTAAATGATTATTAACTTATTTTTCTAAAACACATACTATTGCTAGTAATGTAATTAAAGATGGTCCCCATAATTATTTTCAAATTTCAATTGAGTTGCAACTTAATTGCGCCATAAGGAAATTTAATTGCACCACAAGTTGCAACTCAATTGCGCCATTTTTTTAATTGCAGTGACCATCTTTAAATGTAATTTTCAATTTCATTATTATGCATGTTAATTAAAATATTATCAAAAACTGCTTGCTGATACTAATTAAAATTTATCCAAATAGTATTACTACTAGATATTATTGTAAAATTATATAGTCAACTCTTGATATAATGAATTTTTGATATAATGAATTTTTTAAATAAATATACAAAAATACTCTTGTTATAGCGAATTGGTCAATCAAATCTTTTAAAATCTTTACTATAACCTTATAGTGAAGTTGAGTCTAGGATATAGAGTTTGTTATAATAAGAGTTGACTATACTATTTAATAGTTATAGTCTCATCATTATTTATAATAGTATTATTTATAAATTTTTCCAAAATGTTAAAATATCTATTTAATGCTATTAAAAATTGATCAAAGGCTTTTAATACTTCAGGTGCTAAAACATTATTAGCTTTGTATGTTATAATAAATTCATCAAATGAAGATAGCTTGAAGATGATAATTTTACTATTCATTATTGATTTAAAATATTATTTATTTATAGGTATTATTAATTTACCAGAATGTTAAAGAAAATGTTTGATTATACACTGCCGTTATATCTAAATATAACATCAATTAGTAATATACATAATACTAAAACTAATCAATAATTATTTAATATATTTCTACTTACTATATGTAATATTTAAAATATTATATATCGTTTATTACTTATTCTATAGGGATTTTTTACCTATTCCTTATGCAACGTTTCATAAGTTTTAGTGGTAAAGTTATCCACTGTATTATATTCAATAATAAATATAATAATATGATAGATATAGTTATAGAATTTGAATAATTGCAAATGAGATAGAGAATATAAAGAAAATAATTTTATAAACTCTATTGCCTATTTAATAGTAAGTGACTATAAACAATATATATTCTTCCTATTAATCACTTTTCGAAAATAAAGTCTAAGAAAATAAAAACGTTCACCTTTAAAGTCCTATTATATTTTTGACTCTGTTAGTTAGTCTTATAGTTCTACAACAGCTCAAATACACTTTTACAACTAGGGAAGAATTTATTTTAGAAGTTACTTTTATTCACTATGGTTAAAAAAAACCAAAACAAACAAGCGTCAATGAAAAATGAGCATCGTTTCAACCCAATAGAACATCAACAAACTCTCAAGACACTAGTTACTTCAACCTCTGGCTCTGAAGAACAGCTAGACCCGTCCTCAGCTTCAGACGCTGCTCTTATCAAAAAATTTTTCAAACTACTGACTTCTACTCCCCTCAATGTCTTGGATAAGGACGAATATCTTCTTATAGAATATGATCCCAATATGGAAATGGATCAAAACAAAGATTTCACAGTTATTATTCGTTCAATCTCATTTACTTGTGTAGCAACCATTCTCAAAAGCCTCAAGGACCTCCCCACTGCTACTATTTCAAAAATTATTAATGCTCACTTCACTCTTGATGACACGTTCAGGAGGATTAACGTTTACTACGTTAATCTTGTTCAGTCGATCGTGATCTACTTCAATAATCAGCAATCTATGAAATCAGCCCTTAATGCAAAATTTCCTGATTTGGATATCAACCAGCTGGTTCAGTATGCGACTTACAAAAAAAATATGCAGTTTTCTCAACGTATACTTTGTATCACCGATATCTACCTTAACCTCAAAAAGGAACAACTCACTAATATATTTGCTAAATATGGCAAGATAATTACTATACAAATGTTTACCAGAGATCTTTAGCAACAAGCTTACATCACTTATAAAGATCCTAAGAGTGTTGATCTCTTTCATATTCAATGGTTAAATTTTATCTACAACGATTACGTCTGAGTATACCTAGCTTGCCTCACCCCAGAACAAGCTAAACAACGTAATCATTTTAGAATGAGACTCACCAATTTGCCTTTCAACACCTCTGCTAGAGATCTGCAAGACATCACCTTAGCTAATAAAGCTAAAGCCCTCTATATCTCTCATTCAAACAATTATAAACCTCAACTTTTCACAGTCTTTTACTTCGAAACAGAGGCAGACCTTAACAATGCTATTAAATAATCTTTTGCGTTCAGTGACAATGAACTCCAATAGTGCTCAGCTGATGTGAAATATTGTCATAAATGTGGTTCTCCAGAACATATTGTCATGAAATGCTTCCAAATCGTTCTATTAGTAAATGACGATCCTGTTGATCAACCTAAAACTCTAATTTACAAGCTTTTCTTTGTTCAAAAACTATACAATCGTTTCAAACCAGCAGGATCTAGATTCTTGATTACGAGACATAACAACCGCTAATCTAACCATAACCAGTTACCCTTCTCAAAGAAGGAAATAAGGCTCTACAAGTTCTTCGATTGATGATTCAGTTCATAATTCCAATAATAATAACAACATGACCAATGATAAGCTAGACAGAATCCTCAGCATGCTCACGGGCATGCAAAAGGCTATGTCTGATCTTGAAACTCGCATTGCTAAGCTAGAAAAGGCTCAATCAACTATCTATATCTCACCTTTCTCTTCATCGTCAAGTGTCCTAAATAACGAGCCTATTGCGTAGCAATCTGCGTTTACTTCTATTCCCAAAAAAGAGTTCGTATTGCCAATTCCTTTTCTGATGAAGACCTTAATAAGTCACCTGTTCCCATCGACTTTAAAACACAAGTAATTATTAAAGAACAAGCCTCTGTTATCACTGAACAACAGAAGCAATTACAGATTATTAATGCCCAAATGCTCAAAATCATGACTCAGATGCAAAAACCATCCAGTTTCTCCCCACAATAATTTCACCTATTACCTAACCTACAACTATGATTAACAATAATATAAATATCAATAAAAATAATAATTACAACAATAAACATATAGAACATTTCACTAACAATCAAATTAATTCAAAAGGCACACCTACTATATCTTTTACTACCATAATGTAAATTCACTTCAATGTTCAATCAAAAACCAATTTATTAATGATACATTCACAGAGCTTAATACAGATTTTATAGGTCTTACTGAAACTCGACATAAGTCTGACCAATCCTTTCATTATACACACGACCCTGATTACACTTCTTTTTGAAACACCCACCTTAACTTACACGCTGGAATTAGTATTCTCGTTAAAAAATCCTGGGCTGTTTACATCTAAAAAGTCTATCTGGATAATGATCGATTTATTTACATAAACTTGTATTTATCTGAACATATCAAACTTCGCATCTTCTGTGTCTATTTACATGCTTCAACTGAATCTAATATCAAGACAGAACAGCTCAACCTACACAAATTAATCATCAAACATGTTTATGATAGCATCAGAGTAGATTTCAAGACTGTCATCCTAGGGGACTTCAACATGAATCTCGATACCTACTGGTCACAAGTTAACAATAGCAAAGTCCTACACTGGTAAATAGACTTTTACAAATGGCTCTTCACATTAAACTTCTTAGACCTTTATAACGTTTGACATGATACACCCCAACCCACATACCACTCAGGCTCACATAGTTTAAGAATTGACACCATTTTTGTCTCACTCAACTTTACTTCAGAATTCCTTTATTCATACTTAGATCAGCCAGTCCTCTACTCGTCTGACCATAAGATCATTTTTGCGATATTCGCTGATTATCATATGCAATTAAATACTCGAGGTTGTACCTTACAAAATAAATGATAAGTTCCTAATTTAAGAGCTATGAATTCGTCCAAATGGAATGAATTCACTGCGCACACTTATTTTTATCATAGATATCACAACCTGGATTGCCTCTCAAACCTCCCTACTAACAGATACAATATGAACACCCTATAGATAAATATTAAAACTGCCATCCTAGCTGCCAACAGATATGTCATACTTCAAGTTTGGATTTCCTCACAACAAAGAGATAAACGACCTTTTGATCAGCCCCTCTCTTTCATTGCAACCAGGAAAGTTAGCTCATTCCTGCTCTGTTTTAAAGACTCATTTTTATGAACAAACTGTTAACCTAAACTCCTCGAATAGTCTTATATCAAGAATAATATAGAAAAGCTAATCGCAGATTTGAAACTTCCTATAT